TTCGGCAGACTTGCTGCTCTCGGGAAAAAGAGAAGTCGTTGTAGTCAAAGAGCCATTTGGTTTGGTGGTGATGACAACAACTCCAGAGTCGGTTTCAACAGAGCCGGACTCGGAGGTAGCGAATGTGGTGGTATACTTTGTGCATTCTGGGCAGTCGGTCTTTGATTCAGAAGCAGACTTGGACAATTCAGAAGAAGAAGCAGACCCAACAGATTTCGAAGCAGAAGAAGATTCGACATCTGGCTTACTAGCTGAATGCGATTCAGAAGACCTCGAAAGTGACTCGGAAGCAGATCTCTCTGGGAAAAGAGACGTAGTTGTCGTTAACACACCGTTTGGTTTAGTGGTCACAACGACAATACCAGAATCAGTTTCGATGGATCCATCGGATCTCGACGTAAACGTTGTGGTGTACTTGGTACATTCAGGGCATCCAGACTCAGTGCTTGATTTGATAGAACTGTGGTCCACGGCAGAACTTGAATGTACCTGAGAGGAGCTTGGTCTGATACTTGATTCTTGGGAAGCCAGGCTGGAGGCAGTAGGCGAGTGGTCAACAGCGGATGATGAATCCTTTGAAGCACTTTCTTGCGCAGAACTAGACTCGTGAGAGCTATAATGGCTTGAAGAATCAGCGGCCCTTGACGGACCCTCAGAACTTGAAGATTGAGATCGGTCAACAGAACTGGACAATGGAACAGAACTGGACAATGGAACAGAACTGGATGGTTTAAGAGAAACAGAGGATCTTTCAGAGCTTGAAGGTTCCGCTGAAGGAGAAGAATGAACAGAACTAGATGGCTTCTCCGATCTAGACGAAATGAGCGAGCTGGATGGCTGTTCTAAACTGGACAGTCCAGATCTGGATAAATTGGCAGAACTGGATGACTTCTCGGAGCTGGAAGGCTTATCACTGGGTGATATATTACTCGAAAGTGGGGCCGAGCTAGATGGTCTCTCAGAACTGGATGGTTTCTCAGAACTGGAAGCCTCTGCAAAGCTTGACGGCTTTACAGAGCTAGAAGGCTTCTCAGAACTAGATGGCTTAGCAGAACTGGAAGGTTCCGAAGAGCTGGAAGGCTTTGCAGAACTTGATGGCTTTTCGGAACTAGAGGATCTTTCAGAGCTAGAAGGTTTCGCTGAACTGGATGGTTCGGAAGAGCTGGAAGGCTTTGCAGAACTGGAAGGCTTTGCAGAACTGGAAGGCTTTTCTGCACTGGAAGGCTTTTCTGAACTGGATGGCTTTACAGAGCTAGATGGCTTTTCTGAACTGGAAGGTTTAGCAGAGCTCGATGGCTTCTCCGAACTGGATGAATGAGCAGAACTCGACCCGTTTGGTTCAGGAAATTGTGCCATTGATGGGCAAACGGCACAAATAGAGGGACGGGAAGAACTTGGCGGTGGCTGGCTATATGAAACATAAGATGTAACAAAAAAACCACCCGAAGAATATCCATTGCCAATCAGAATGTATTGCTGCTGATATCCGCTGCCCACATCAAAAGTGTAGGTGTTCAATCCAACAACTACTGTCAAGGTGTTTCCCGAAATGGTAGCGGACTTGACCACACCTGTGAATCCAATCTTGTTGTTGCTTCCCCAACCAGAAATTTTAATAGTGTCCGGAGGCGTTTCCAAACCAAACCGGATCTGAGAAGACGACGTGGAAAGATACACAGTTTGAGTAGAAGGCAATGGCCAATCTTTGGGCAGATCCTGAAGCAAAAGGGAATCCTCTCCAACACTGTAACAACCGGTTCCCTGAACAATAGAGTGCTGGTACATGTTCATTTGATACAAGCAAATTGTTCCATCGTTGGTAACAGTTTGACCATTCTGGCCAAAGTACGACGTTCCTCCGGACCTGGAAACACTTTGTGCATAGAGAATGGTACCGCGGTTTTCCGGGACAGTTCCCAAACTAGGCCAAATGTCCATTGTAGAACCTCCAGTGTTTCCAATTCCGCTCATAAGAATCTCTCCGTCATTCACAAATGTAGGGCCGTTGAAGTAAAAACTAGGAGCGGAAGTTTCGTTGTTAGCATTGAGTACCACCTGTCCATTGTTGGTAATACCTTTGTAAAAGTACACAGACATTCCTGTATTGTGACCGTTATCACCAATACACAATTGACCGTCATTGGTGACGCTTCCATGAAAAGTGTTGAGTATCTGGCCATTTTGGTTGTTGTAGGAGAGATAAACACCACTCTTGATAAGAAGGTCATCATTGTAGTTGGCAGCTCCAAGGTTGTCGGTGTTTGCGCTGATGGTAATCAAACCAAGCACAGACCTGACAACCACTGCCAAGCTTAATGATAAGCTCAGAGTAGACCGCATTTCGTGGCTCCAAAACCATTGGAAATAGCTGGGCCTTTAAATATGTTTTCGAATACGAGACGGCCCGTAATCCAATTCACGACAATATTTATGTTTTTGCTTGTAATCCACGTTGCATAATGCATGAGTGTGGCTCATCTCAAGTTCTGTTATTCCACCTTTCTTCAAATCACATTTGGACCTCATCGCTTGCTCCTCCATCTGGACTTGGCAATATTTTCAGAACACTTCAAGAAGTAAAAACATCTTGAACGGTAGCTTGGTTAACGGAGATGAATTTCAGGCTTTCTCTACAGGTGGGAACTCTTAAAGTGCATTGACGGAAGAACCCGAAATGAGCGAGCGGTTGCAGCCTAAGCCTAAATGCACGACCGGTGAAATAAGCGTTTTCAAATTGCCATTGACACATGTATGCAGAAAGTGAAATAAGCTGCCTATGCGAGGCTCTACTATATCCGGGAACATCAGGCTTTCCCTACTTACCATGGCAGCGAAAACTAGTATGAATGTCTTGCCAGAGTGCAATTTTCAACAACTCAGAACAACATAGGCTTGCTCGCTCCGTATATGTCCTGTCTGCAAATGCAATGCTGCTTATGCATGTGCCAGCACCTTGCATAGTAGCGTTCGTGTGTCTTCCCAGATCTTAACGTATCTAACACAGACGCGAGCAATTTTGTGAGTGGCTTTCTCATAACCAGATGGTATGTGTCACTTTTGAAAGAGAAAGAGACCTTCTACATTCGGCCGCGTACCTCATCAAAGCATTACGCGTTTCTATTAATATGCGCTGCGAAGTTGAGTCCCCGGAAATGATGACATTCTCAATTAGACGACAAGTCGATGCCATCTCCTTAGTCCCTTCTGCATGAATATGCTCGTGGATGTACTTTGGCGCTGGTCTGTTTTACTAATGCACCCTTACATGTTTGTCACGGGCAAAATATTTTAGCCATCATGTTCGTAAGCCCTGCAGCATACGTGCCTGTACAGTAGCGCGTGCAGCTCGGAAAAAATTAGTCTAACTCCAGTCGACGAGAACAAGCTTTCATTGGCGTTCCATTGCCGACCGGAACCCACTTCTCGAACATTCGAAAACGCAACCACCAAACTTGCCCAAAAAGAATAACTGATTTGTTAAACTTCTGTCATCCGGCAGACGTACTCACATGCTTGCTTTTTTAGATGACTGGTCTTTCAGTTGGAGTGTGGAAGCTTCATCGGCTTGCCATCCTTTAGCCCGAATCTTCTTGTTGTACTAGCGATGATTTCATTGTTAAATGTGCAGTGCTGGGCGAAATTCGATGCATCGGCACGGGATTCTCTTATACTTTCCCTTTCATGCTCTGCTGTGTGCTTTCCTGCCCTTAACGTTGCATGTGGGGTTTTCTTTTCCTTTGGGCGAGCTTTGGGTAAGAACCGAATCTGGAATTGGTCATCTTAATTCGCAAATACCCGTAACTTGTAGTTGTCGCTACTCACTCGTAAATTTGAGAGATTAAATCTGCTAGTGATATTTGCATTCCTTTGTCAAAATTAGTAGATTAAAGAAGAGGCATTTCAAGCACGAAACCGAAACTGATGAAACAAAGCCTTGGAGAGCATCTGAATACCAACAGATCACCCTTAACACCCTTCTGGTAGCTAACTTGCTCCAATATAAAATCATCTTCCAATTATCCAGAGAAAACTTCCAAACCTATAACTTTAAAGAGCAATCTACGACCCAAAGTACTAGTGTATATTGTAACATTCGACGTTTATCGTTAAGACCACTTCGAATTCGGGCTGAAATCTACCACTCGAAAGTGATGCATACGGACTAGCGATGTTCTTCATTTAAAGATTACCTTTCATTAGTCGGTTAGTCGGTTAATTGTAAGCGTTGAATCATGTGAAGTCATATATACTCGGTTTCCCTGATAGTGTAAGATCCCGATTATCCATGGAAAAGTATGGAATCCGATCTGGATAGATTTATATGGACTCTTTCTATCCTAAAGGACATTTTTGTCTAAGCTCCTTTATACCAAAATATTATCTTATTGTTGTGCTGAGCCGTCGTTCATGGTATACTTTTGAGATTTCTCGGAATTTGCCGATTTCTATCAAAAGTATGTACTTCGCGTTATGTAAATTTAAATCAGCTACACTAGGAGTGTCATTTTTCCAGAAAATTTAGCATGAACCCATTATAATCACTGCCATCTTGTTTAACTGCTCTGACGTAGTATGGGCCAACAAATGAAATGATTTCTGAATATTGCAGTAGTCCAAATTCCTTTAGTTAGCATGTGAACTTCGCGTATACGTTTGATGTGCATTTAAGTTATTTTACATGACTGCACGGCATCTTTAGATACTTAAGTAAACATCTTTAGTAATGCAAACTTTACCCCGAATACTTCTCACGACTTCATCTTTTCGTATAGTCCTACATCTACCTTTATCTCCTGCTAAGTGAACACCAATCGTATCCCTTACCCAATCTTGAAGGTGGACGAGAGCTTATACTTTTCAAGATTTAAACGTATTCGCGAAACGCGCAATGAATTTTAAAAGTAGAGGCAATGCCATGTACACGCTTACAGTGGAAGCTGCATGCGCATATGATCTGTACCTGCATAATAGGGACGTGCCACGCGTTGTGCCCCCTCGCCTGATGCACGGAAGCCGTGACCATTGAAAATTGGGAATGAAGGCAAAGTAATTCGTACAGCCTAGTTCATAAGCAGTTTCAAAGGGTTTATGGGAGTACACAAGAAGCAGATAGTGAAATGGATTCTTGTGCTATTTGCACAAGAGCTTTCGAGTGCTTGTATGTGTAGGAAGTTGCTTTTTGCTATCTCTGCAAATACTCCTGTATAACCTTGCTTGTTAATTAAAAGAGGGTTCTTCTTTGGTTTCATTGTAAACTCGTTGCAGAAATGATATATTTGAAAGAGTAGTAGATAAAAATGACACTCGCTGTGACTGAATTGATACCAGACCTGGTTTCGCATATCAACACTGAATTGCAAAGACTCTCCTCCATGACTTCTGCGACCGCATTACGAAATACTGGATTATACTTGTAGTCAATTACACTCTATATGATAAATACTCTTGAAATAATAACGCGAGCTCATATCTCCATAAGCAGAGTGACACCGTGGTTCTGCTAATCAAACTAGTGAAATTGGCTATTGGTAAAGTTGATAAATGAATGTTGAGGAGTATCATGCTTCAAGAAGCAATGACCTCACAAATTGACAAAGGCTTGGAACTTCAGCGAAGACAATAGTATGCAATTTTGAAAACAAACAGTACATTTTGCCGTAGAGCAAAGTGTGACAAGTTATGCCCCAGATATGGATAAACCCACTTAGACTGTGATTAACTGGGTAAATAACTCATTGCTTTATGCTACTCATACATTGGGACTCGCTTATTTCGGAATTACTCGGGTGTATATTGAAACAACGAAAGCAGAGCTATGCTTTTGCTTGGGACAACCTTCAAAGTCTTAGCAGGCGCTCTAAATGCATAGCCTCGCTTACACTTCCTCTCAATCTCATGCTTTAGAAAGTTTACTCTATTTCCCGTTGCGCTAGGGATATCTGACAATTATATTCAAGCAAACTGAGTCAACTTTTGATCACTCATAGGAAATGAAAAACGTGGCCAAGTACACAAAGATGCTGCTAGATGAGGGACCTACTACTCCGAGTCGGAACTGAACTAACCAATCACTAGTCTAGATTCCACTTTAGACTATTCGTCGATGGTCCATGAATAAAAAGGTTTGGAGGCTCTGGAGACAAGAAGTTCCTGTGTTGCTTTTCAAACTAGGAATTCCTTTGAAATTTGAAAGCAAACACCAAATCAGTAGATTGTGCATTTCCATCAAGTAATTGTTTTGGAGCAGAAACTGTCAGATTAGTTCACCAAAAAGCTCGGGAGATCCCTACTATATAGCCCTTTCCACTATCAGTTTTTAAGTGTACGTCTTAGACATGATGCAGCATCCAATATGACAGTTCAAACTTTAAGATATTAATGAGGAGGTTGCTCACTATTGCTTCAGGAAAATTAGCATATGTCATCAATGCCTGTTCATTCCATCATAAAATGGACTATTCCCAAGCTAGAAGCGTGAATTTCCTTTCAATTCAAAGGTTAATAAAATTGGAGCACAGACATCAAAATCTTCAAGAAGTGGACATTGGTGGGAAATGCCTTTGAAGGAGAAATGGCCTAGACGTTATGCATCTAGGGAGGTGTCCACTCCTGGTGAAGCAAAATTCCGAGTTACATGCAATAATTGCAGATACTTCCTAACTTACCGAGTTACTTAGCCCTATATGCGTATCTTCCTATTCAGTAAAAATCAGCTAGGCGTACTCGGATGCACTGAGAAAGTTTTTCATGCTTACATGTTACAATCCCGAATTTTTCCTATCCCAGACGGTTCTATGCTGGACAATGTAAATGTCTTGTGATTGTTTGTCCAATCTGCCTCCTTCATTATGTACTTTTGTCTATATCAAATGTTTTTAATTGACAGTCTTTGCCTTAGTCAATTTCCAGAGATTAAGTGTTGCCTATAGACCTTGCGGAACGTATATCACATATCTAAGCATTTTTGGTACTCTATTGCGCCTGTGTATGCCAGTTTGAATATTTACGCTTATGTGCGCTTCTGGAATCCGCCGGAAGGGTAAACTTACTTATTCTCCCAATTTGGAATGGGTATTCCGTATTTGGGGGCGCCAAAGGCATTCGTAGATGCAGCCTTTCGGCAATGAGTCAATTCCTTTTCACAAAAACAGATTTTATTTCTCATCATCAGCAAAGGTGGATCTTTGCAAGCAAGATTCTGTATTTGTGATTTATTTTATAATCTTCAGACTGAAAGTATTAGTCTCGCAAGGTTAGTTACTGTGGAGATACTGCTTTCGCCTGCATGACTAGCTATTATGCTAGATTGATCTAGCCTGCACTTTGTAGTTTGAGGTCTT